AGCTCATTACCTACCTCCTCTAACGGTGGAAACCAGGCTTTACGCGAAATGACATGGTTAGAATTCTTGGATTGGTGGTTGCTCTCGTGGGTGCAAACTGTCCCGTTAGTTGGCTGTCCAGTAACATTAGCATAAAAACATGGCGCATGCTATACTTAGACAGCAGGCTATTTTTAGCCCACCTAATATAAACTCTTAATGAAAGCATTGGGATACTCTGCAACGGGTCTTCCCAGCACATTGTTGACGCTCTGGCACGAGTGATGTGATCATACTTGTAGGACTCTGACCGTAAGGAATGTTGAACGAAAGATCCTCACTCCCTCGCTCATCCGCGGCCGTGGAGATACTTGTGTAGGCTGTGAAGCATAGTAGTAGCAAATATAGGTGTCGCTGTGGCCAATGGAGGAGCGGGAGTGGGCGGTGGTGGAGGAGGCTGGTCCAGCAGCGTCATGAACGAACGGACGACCTACAAGAGCACCAATCCCCTCCTTCCCTCCTTACCTCCCTCCCTTCCTCTCTTCCCCCTCCTCCTCCTCACCCCCTTTACATTACCTTACTCAGGACCCCCCATGGATATGTGCATGTCCTTCCCCTGCCCCTCCCTTCCCCCGGCCCCAGCACGCCCATGATTGCCACCAGAACTGGCACAGGCAGCGCCGCCATCTTGACTGAAGTGTTGAAGTGGTGTGCCCCCCTTAGCCACCGATACAGCTTCCACCAGCGAGCCGGCGTTCCTCTCGTTCCTTGGCACCCCTCGTGAGCAGACCCTTTGTGGGGCACATGACCCTGTGGCCGGAATGGGGTCAAATTATCCCCCAGGGCGCACTGTCCCCGCTCCTCCGAGGCGCTGCTGTGCGTGAATTGTGCAATATACGAAGGAGGAGTCGGAGTCGGTGAATGGGCTGTCTCATGCATATGCAACTTTTTGACGCGAACGGATGACGATCTGGGTATTCTTGAGTACTCTGCGATGTGGATAAGAGGGGGGAAGGGGTGTGCCGAGACGTGCTGGGTAAAGAATGGGTGACGGGGAGGATGAGCCGTAATGAGTACCAAGGGTGTTGGAATGTTATGATAGCGAAATTAAGTGAATATGGAAGATAGGAGTAGAATTTAAAAGTACCCCGTTGCGAGTCTTATTCAGAACAGCAAGCAAGCAAGCAAGCAAGCAAGCAAGCAAGTAAGCAGGTGACATGCGCGTAAGTAATGGATTCATCTGTCCCAACGCGGATGTGTTCTAAAGTACACTTAAAGGTGTAATAGCCTTTACATGACAGCCAGGTGCGGACGAACGAGAGAGAGAGAGAGAGAGAGAGAGAGAGAGAGAGAGAGAGAGAGAGAGTGTGTGTGTGTGTGTGTGTGTGTGTGTGTGTGTGTGTGTGTGTGTGTGTGTGTGTGTGTGTGTGTGTGTGTGTGTGTGTGTGTGTGTGTTAGTAAGTGTACTTACACATCCCGATTTCATTTCATTTCATATGGGGCAGCATTGCCCACATTTGTGTTACGCTAGTCATTAGAAGGTTATACTTGTTGGTGATGTAATTCTCCCTCCCCCTCATCCGCTCGACGTGCATTGATGCAGACACTGTAGCCTGCAAAGAGGTCCCCCGTCGTGTGTCACGGATGCAAAGCGCACGTTTTAGTGTTAGCAGCAATAGATTCGGATGTCGGTGTATTTGTCTGTGGGCTTCTCACTTTGTGGCGCAGTCTTTCATTTATCTTCCCAGAACTCCGTCAGTGTATTTCTCCCTCCCTCTCTCCCTCTTTATCTGCCTTTCCTCTCACCCTTCCTCTGTCTCTCTCTCTCTCTGTGATGTTGAAAGTAAAATGGCAATATATCAAGACAGTTAGACGCGGGCAGTAGGGCGGGGCGTCGGGAAGGTAGGGTAGCAGGGAGGCATGGAAGGAAGGAGGGCAAGTAGGAAGGACAGGAAAGGCAGAGCATGAGGGGCTTAAAAGAGAACGGGGAGAGTTGGAGAAAGGGCACTTGGGCAGGAAAAAGTCGAGGGACATGGAGAAGGGCACTTGGGCAGGAAGAGGTCGAGGGGCATAAAGAAGGGAATGGTGTTGGGCCAATAGGAGGTCAAGGCAAGGACGAAGGATAAAGGGAAGAATGATGGGATAGGAAAGGTAGGGTGGTGGGGCAGGAAGGACTGGAGGAAGGGAGGCAGGGCAGGGTGGCGGGGCATGGTGGGCTGGAGCAGGCTAAGGACGGCCTTCAGCAGCTATTGATCGAGTGCGCTACTGGCGACTTCCTGTGGCAGCGGCAGCGTACTGTTGTAGAGGCCTTGCTGGAGTTCCTGCTTCTCTTTCGTGTTGGAGCCACTGCCAGTGGACAGGTGAAAGGTCACGCCAGAACAGCTGTGCCACAAACGGCAATGCATTTCTCGCCAACTTTAATTCGCACTAAAAGTAAAGCTGTCTATGCAGTGGAGGTCGTTCACTGTCTGCCCACACTCTAGACTGGCACCCTGGCACTCCGACACGTCAGTGCACAAACAGGCAATTTTAAAACTGTTTTCAAACTTCGTTTTAGGTTCTGATGCCTCTATTTTTTTTAAATTAGCGATGATTATGATACTGAAAGAAATTAATGAGGGTTGGTTTTTAGTGCATGCAGCCAGGTGGACAAAGGTGGCTTAGGATGTTATGGCAGGTGGGGCAGTGGGGCAGGAGAGGGAGGAGGGGAGGAGGAGGAGGCTAAGGATGCAAGGATAGTGGGATGGGACTGGGTTAGCAAGTGAAGCAGGTGATGCTGCTGCGATGGATAGACAGGAGTGGGTGAACAAGGATAGACGAGCCAGTTGATGCGAGGGAAACAAAGGGTCGTTGGAGGAAAATGCATGGTTTTGTTAAATCAGAGTTAAATATGAGTTGTGTAATTTGCAGCCCCTGATAATCATGTTTCAAGCGAGCGAAAATTGCGAAGAGGAAGTCGGTCATGTGGGGAGAGCGTTTGCACGATGGAGCGTTGAATTAGTAGGATGCACCAACACTGTCTGGTCCTCTTTGGCGTGTGACGCACGGGATGTTTTCATCAGGCGGCCTGTGCTATGCGTGGTAATAGGTGGATCAGGTAGCATAGAGGATGATTCTGCCGGGCTGATAAGGTATAGGGTGAGGCTATACATGGATTCGCATCTCGGGAGCATGGCAATGAGGTGAATGGTACAGAGCAATTGCACATTGCGGAGGACGTCGCTGTGTTTTATTGTGACGTGTTGCTAAGGGCTGGGGACTTGTTATACTGGGCTGGGAGGGTGGCCAGAACTATATATTATACGTGTGCAGAGGCACATGCTGAGGCGGGGAAACGGTCGTATTTTGACACAGATTCAGGTGCGCGTCTGTGGCTTAGATTCATATATTCTCCTCGTCTCAAGTGGACGGGTTAAGCGGCAAGGGCGCCCTTTGAAACGGTGGGGTACGAGTAGCCATGTGGAGTTTAGTTTCATTTGCAAGTGAATTGGCGACCGTTGTTCACCGATGACCTGTACAGATGCATTAGCAGAGGAACTTTGATGGAATTAAGCCATCTAGCTGAACAGGTGTCGTTTTGAACGGACGTGGTTATTTCTTTAGTCGTAGACACGAAAATCTATTTAGGGAGAACGCTATTAAGGGACCTTGCGAAACGCGAAACAATGAATGGTTCATGCATAAGCCAACCCAAGATCTGAAACGATTTTTTAACAGCCTCTTTTAGATCAAAGACATTGGGAAACTGTTTTGAAAAGGGATGGGAAAACGTGTTGACGAAAGGAAGCGCAGAAAGCCCTCGAGGAGAGTATGTGTTGATCGGACCTTCAAGTACGTCCGAATACGCGCTCGCTAGGATCTGGATGCCAGTATTTATGGGAAGTTTCTTTTAACAGGGATGTTAGAGTAGGGTGCTTTTTTCGTTTGTTAGCAGGAAAGCCAAGAAGTGACGTTTTATTTGTGTGCGCGGCACAGCTTTACGGGTTTCAAAATTTCGTTTGTATTGAAGAAAGATTTTAAAAGGAGTGAAAATTGTAATAAAAAGTATCATAATGCTATGTTGCAATTTGGGATTTAAAACCATTCAGTGAACAAGTTATTTATAAGAGATGAAATTATCAGACGTGGCTAAATAGTATAAAAGAGCATAAGTGATTAAATCCACAAATAATGACACATGCATCCTTAACTGAATCCATTTCGGTGATAACAGCCCGAAATGAGTGACTATGAAAAAGCAACGTAGACGCAAGTACGAGGTCTGGCAAGCAGCGACCACCACGACGAGACTGTGGCCAGACACCCTTTACGTCATGTGCCTTCACCTCCACCTCCGCCTTCCCTGCCCCCCCCTCCCCCGTCCCGTCGCCCCCCTGTCTGCTTAACATTATCCCCTCCGTCCCTCTTCTCATCCACGCCTTCGTAGTAACCTCTCTCTCTCTCTCTCTCTCTCTCTCTCTCTCTCTCTCTCTCTCTCTCTCTCTCTCTCTCTCTCTCTCTCTCTCTCTCTCTCTCTCTCTCTCTCTCTCTCCCCCTCCCTCTCTCCCTCCCTCCCTCCCTCCCTTCCTTCCTCCCTTCCTCCCTTCCTCTCCCTCTCTCTCTCTCCCTTCCCCCTCCCTCTCTCTCCCTTCCCCCTCCCTCTCTCTCCCTCCGCGCGCGCGCACACACACACACACACACACACACACACACACACACACACACACACACACACACACACACACACACACACACACACACACACACACACATTCATACATGTATGTATACACACATGCATGCATCCTTACATGCTTACATACTTACATATATACAGATATGCATGAATATATACATACATACATGCGTACATACATCAATCTACCATTGAATGTCTACATTGCAAGAAGAGATGGTGTAGTTTTAACACAAATAATCGTTACTTATTTTAGTAATTCCTTGGCAAGGCAAAGCCATACCTATTGTCTTTAATTAATAGATCTTTTTGATTCCGTCTCTAATGATTTTTTCTTTATTTTCAGGGCAACAACAGTCGGGGGAGCAGGAGTTGGCGACGAAGATGCTACAGATCCAGAGCAAACGGTTCTACATAGACGTGAAACAAAACAGACGCGGCAGGTTTATGAAAGTAGCAGAGGTTTGTTGTTTTTCATTTGTTTTCTCACGTTTTTGTGTTTTGTACCTTGTAATGTTTCTTCCGACTTCCACGACGGGGACAGAAAGGGAAGGGGGGAGATATAATGATTATTGTTATCATCTTCGTCTAGGAAAAATGTGTTGTAGTTCGCCAACATCAAAGAAATTATTTTATATTTATATCCAAAACAGATATGAGACGTAAGAACAGATTTTGACACTAATGTAATGTATACTTCTTTTCACAATAATAATAGTTATATGGTATTACAATATCAATAGATTAATATAATTAATAAGTTTGTTTTGTCTGATAAGTACTGTGATTTTTAATTTCTTAATAGAAGCAGCTGAAAACAGATCGAAGTATGACATTCTCAGGGGGGAGGGGGTGATACTTAGTACAAGTAATTTAGATTTCAGAAAACCAGAGATTTGTTCGTTCATTGATAGTTAACAAAATTTATATTGAGCAGAATAGCAATAAGTGTGTTTAAAATGTATACATACACACGTACACGCGCGCACTAACTTGTCCCCCCCCCCCCCCCCCGACACAGACTTTTTGAACACTGACTAATGGCTTTAATTTTTAACGATTTTGTTTATCCAGATGCGATTAAGCCAAGAATTAAATCATAAATGCATATCAAGTTATCAGTAAAGTAAACAAAGATCAGAGTAATTGTTATGCACACTCAAAGGCGGGCGATGCAACCGCTCCGACAATCTGGGTATTCATGGGAAGGGGCGGAGCGATCAAGGACTTTTTTTCTTATTGCTATTTGAGGACAAATTAAATCGTTTGCACTGGATTATGGTGTTATAATTCCACAGATGCAGACACACACACACACACGCACAGACGCAGATACATACACACGCACAGACGCATATACATACACACGCACAGACGCAGATACATACACACGCACAGACGCATATACATACACACGCACAGACGCAGATACATACACACGCACAGACGCATATACATACACACGCACAGACGCAGATACATACACACGCACAGACGCAGATACATACACACGCACAGACGCAGATACACACACAAACGCACAGACGCAGATACATACACACACACACACACACACACACACACACACACACACACACACACACACACACACACACACACACACACACACACACACACACATACGCACAGATACAGATACATACACACACACGCAGATACATACACACACGCACAGACGCAGATACGCACAGACACAGATACACACACACGCACAGACGCAGATACGCACAGACACAGATGCACACACACGCACAGACGCAGACACACACAAACACACACACGCACGCACAGACGCAGATGCACAATTGCACGCACAGACGCAGATACACACACGCACGCACGGACGCAGATACGCACACGCACACACAGACGCAGATACGCACACACACAGATACACAGACGCAAGCACATACGCAGATACGCACACGCAAGCACAGCCGCAGATACACACACGCACGCACAGCCGCAGATATACACACGCACGCACAGACGCAGATACGCACACGCACGCACACACGCAGATACACACATACACGCACAGACGCAGATACACACACGCACGCACACGCAGATACACACACGCACGCACACACACAGATACACACACGCACGCACACACGCAGATACACACACGCACGCACACACGCAGATACACACACGCACGCACACACGCACGCACACACACACACACACACACGCAAGCATGCATATGCACTCACACACACACACACACTCATGCATGTATGCATGCACGCACTCATACATACACTGATGCACACATACATACATACATGCACGCACGCGCACACACGGAGATACACACACGCAGATAGACACACGCACGCATAGACGCAGACACACACGCACAGACGCAGATACGCACACGCACGTGCAGACGCAGATACACACACGCACGCACACACGCAGATACACACACGCACGCACACACGCAGATACACACACGCACGCACACACGCAGATACGCACACGCACG